CTCTCATACAATTTTAGTTTTTTAGTCCTTAGAACATAAAACTTAATAAATAATAGTTTAGTAAATATAGTATATAAAAGTATTCTTTTTATTTTATTTATTTAAATTAAAGTAAATAAATAACAATAATAAAATGAATTATCATACAAATAAACCACATTGTAGGTATTGGAATATACTGTTTTTGTTGTCTTTATAATGAGTTTTTAAATTATAATCACTAAATAATACTAATTCATTTTTAATTTTAATTTTTTATTTTTATTAGATGAAAATGATTATAATAATAAAAAAACAACAGGCATTCCTTGTAAATTTTTCAAGAATGGCAATTGTTTATCAGGAAACAACTGTAAATTCTCGCATGACATTTCACCTACCACCAACAATAGCTCTATTGCATCATCAACAGCAAAAATAAATATTAAGGGTAATAATGGTCTTTATTCACCAAATAAAAAAACAATCGAAATATCATCGTTTGAAGAAGATAATAATAATAACAATAATAATAATACAACAATTATTTCAAAGGGATTTGTAATTCCAGTAGAAAATTTAACATCACAACCACCAATATCATCTCCAAAACATTATAATAGTCATATAATAAATAATGATTATTTAGGTAATAATAATAATAATAACAATAATAATAATAACTTTTTAAGTAGCGGTAGTGGAACATATAGTCTTTTAGATGAAGGGTTTAATAGAGAATCAATACCAGGTTCATTTATAAAAAACAATAATATAAATAGTAATGTAAATAATAATAATAATAATATATATCAAAATCCATATCAAGTCAGTACATCACCAATACAATTTATTAATAATAACAATAATAGTCAACAACATCCAAATAATTTAAATGTAAATATTTCAAGATCACCATTATTAACAACTCAAAACATGGCATTATCACCAAATAGATACACCAACTCACTTTCGTTTTTACCAAACTCACCAAGAAACCCACTAAGCTCATCACCATCTTCACCATTTAGTCCACAATTTATTCATGGTCTCTCATCATCACCTTCACCATTTTACGTAGCCCCAATCGGTTTTACAAATGGGTCATGTGACGATGATCCATTTATGGAAGAAGAAGAAGAGGACGATGACGACTGTATGAATCTTAATGATCCAAGTGGCTTAATCATCATTGATGATAACTATGATGACAATGTTTTAGATCCTTTTGAATATACCGATACTCAAAACCGTTTATATCAAGAAGAACAACAACAGCAACAAAAATTAAAAGAAAAAGAAGAAAGACAATTACAATCACAATTACAATTACAAATACAATATCAACAGCAGTTGCAACAACAACAACAAGAGGATGAAAGAAAAATTAAACAAATTACAGAGTTAATGGAGAATAATTTATTAAATGAAAATAATATAAAAAACAATTTAAATAATAATATAAATAATAATAATAATAATAATATTAATAATTATAATAGTAACAATAGTTTAAATACAAATGTTTCAACATCCTCATCAACATCAACTTTATCTTCATCATCATTAAATAATAATAATTATAATAATAGTTTATCACCAAATACCACTACAACCATTATAACTACAACTACAACAACCACCACAACCAACAATAACTCTAAAGCCCTTTCATATTTAGACGCATTAAAATTAAATTTACCAGCAGATTATTATATTTCATATGAGCAAGGTAATTCAAGCACAAATAGTACCCATAGATCTGAAGTACTTTGTCACTTCCATATTCAAGGTATTTGTAGAAATGGTGATTCATGCAAATTTGTTCACGGTAATCCATGCGAAGTTTGTGGTAAATGTATGTTAGTACCAGGTAATCAAGAACAAAACGATCAACATATTACAGAATGTCTTATTCAACAAGAGAAATTTAATCAACGTGAACAAATGAAACATTTAGAATGTGGTATTTGTTATGACTCTGTTGTTGACAAAGGACGTCGTTTCGGTTTATTAAGTCATTGTGACCATATTTTTTGTTTAGAATGTATCAGAGAATGGAGAGGTACCTCAGCATCCACAATTGGCCAAGCTAATACCGCTGTTCGTTTATGTCCATTATGTAGATTCAACTCTCATTTCATTATCCCTGCCGATATCTTTGTCTCTGATGAGAAGAAGAAAGAAATTATTGAAATCTATAAATCAAAATTAGCAACTATTCCATGTAAATACTTTAACAAAGGTCGTGGTCAATGCAAATTCTCAACATCATGCATGTATTTACATTTAAATGCTGATGGCTCAATTTATAAACCATTGGTTAGAAAAGTTCAATCCTCTTTCGGCGATACCACCTTACATAATAATCAATTGGGTATGTTTATGCAAAATTTAACTCCAAGAAGCAGTAGAAACAATTCAAATAGTCCAAATGATAGTTTATCAAAAGATCATATTTATGATGAAAATAGTTATGAAGAATATGACGAAGAATAAATAAAAAGAAAATTTAAATAGATCTATTTTTTATATATTATTATTATATATTATTGTTTTTTAAAAAAAATATTTACAAAGAATATAAAATAAAATTTAAAACCAAAAAACCATATGATAACTAAATTTTAAAAAAAAAAAATACACACCAAGTGTATTTATCATTTTTATCTAACATTTTATTTTTTATTTTTATTTTTATTTACATTTGGTTTAAATTTAGAATTTGGTGTTGTTTTTGCAGTAGCTGCTGTTGTAGTAGTAGTAGTGGTTGTTGTTGTTGTTGTTGTTGTTGTTGCAGTTTTAGTTGTATTTGTGTTGGTGTTGAGCGCATTTTTCCTGTTTATTAATATTTGCCTTTTACTTTATCTAAATCTTTGGTGTTTATCAATTAATTTTAGCTATAAATCAACCGTTATTAGTAAATTTATATAATATTATTAAAATGATATAAGTCGTTGATTAATATTTACTTTGAATATCGGAAAATTTAAATTGGGTTTTATGGGTGGAGAAAAAAAAACATTTGATTTTTTTTGATATATTACATACCATCTTTTGTTTTTTTAACTTCTTCAATTTCAGAAGTTTAAGTTCTTATCTGGATATTATAATAAATTTGGGTTGTGAATTGAAATTATTTGAAAGTCAGTATAATTATTATTATGTATGTGGCGGGTTTTATAATTTATTATTGTAACTATATTATTTATTGTAACCTATTATTTTATTATTTATAAAATTTATTTTATAGATTAATTACTTCTTTTTCCAATTGAATTCTATCAAATTCATGAGGATTAATCATGATACCATTCATTCTATAAATTTCGAATCTAAATAAAACAAAAAAAAAAAAGAATTATAATAATGAAAGTGTAAAAAATTAAAAAAAAAATAAAAAAAATAAAAAAAATAAATTTATTTTTTTAATTTTTTTAAAATTTTTTTTTTTTAATTTTAAAAATGTGGTGTGTGATATGTCGTCTAATGGGGTCATGAGAATATTTAGTGCGAATATTAATGCTGCAATATATCGATTAGGAAATGCTAATTGATTTTGAATTGACAAAAAAAAATTATATTTTATTTTTTTTTTTTTTTGAGTTTTTTATTTTATTTTTTTTTTTAATAAATATTTTTTTTTTGTTTTTAGTAATTATTAATAATTTAAACTTTTTGTACACATTGTTTCACTAATACTCATACATATAAATATATACACCCCACACACATAATTTAAGATTTTTAAAATAATAAAAAAAAAGAAAAAAAGTTTTTTATATTTAATTTAAAATATTATTTAATTTTATTTTTTTTTATTAATAATTTGTTTAATAAAATAATTTTATTATAATATTGGTTTAAAAGATAATAACATTTAAAATAATATATTCATAAAATTTTATTTAATTCTTTTTTTATTTTATTAATTTTTTTAATATAAAAAATAAATTTGTAATAAAAATAGGATTATTTAAATAGAAATAAAAAGATAATAGAAATAATAGAAGTAATAATTAATAAAAAATAAATTTTTATAAAAATGTCGTACAATAATAGAAAAACTACAACAACTACAACAACAGCTAATTTAAATAATAGTATATCAAGCGATGGCTCAGCAACTGCAAACGCTCAAAATTTAGAAAAGATATTAGAGAAAATAAAAGAATGTAATTATACACTTGTAAATTCAATTACAGCCACCGAAGCAATTCAAAAAGAAAAGGATGCTTTAAAAGAGCAATTAGAAAAATATGGTAAAATTAAAGATGAAAAGAGAATAAAGAAGTTACAATATAACATTTCTTTACAAACAGAAACTTTAATGAAAGCTTTATTCGAATTGGATAGTTTAACAATTCAAGGCCATATTAAACATTCTCACAAAATCAAAAAGGAAAGAAAAAAAGAAAAGAAGCAACAAAGACAATTTGAAGAGGACGATGACGATTTAGTATGTATTAAAAATTTAAATTCGAAATTTATTTTTATTAATATTAATTTTTTTTTAATTTGTTTAGTTTGATGACTCTGGTAGAAGTAGATCAGGATCAAATTCGACTTCAAATACAAGCTCAAGTAATTTTTCTGAAAGTGAAAGTGATTCAGGTAGCAGTGGTTCAAGTTCATCAGAGACTGATTCAGATGAATATTTACCTAAATTTGGTCCACACAAACTTAGAAAATATAGAAAGCAAATTGTTAACAGGGTCATGAGATTAATCGAATATTTAGATACTCTTTCTACAGAAACCAAAGAAATCAAGTCTAAAAATGACCAAGTAGCTTCAAAAGATCAACAAACACCCGATATTAATGATACTGAAAAACCAAGATTAAATGCACAAAGTAAATCTTATCAGCCACAGAGTTTTTACCAACATAAACATCAAAAAAAAGATGATGTACCAATGAGCCAAAACAAACCAACTATTGGTAGTAATAGAAGCAATAGTTATAATAATCTTCATAGTCAACAACAACAGCCACAACAACCTTACCGTCATTATAATAACAATCACTCACGTCAACCAAGTTTCGAATTCGATAGCCCATTTGAATTTAAAGATTTCCAAATACCAGACGATAACCTCCATCCATTTGGGGAAGAAGAAGAAAACAACTTTGATATGGATAACTTTGAATCACCATCAAGTACATTAAATAGATATAGATCAAATAGCAATAGAGAAGGATACAACAATAGATTATTTAGATGGTAAATTTAAATTAAAAAACTAAAAAATTATTTATTTAATAATTGTACATAATCTTGTTTTTTTTTTTCTTTCTTTTTTTTTTTAATTCAATAAAATATTATTTTTAAATAAAGTTTATAAATATTAACAATTTCTTTTTTTATCAAAAAATTTAAGTTTTAAAATGAACTAGATTAATTATAAATACAATACAAAGTATTATAATTATTATAAATAAAAGATAAGAAATAATTAATTTTTTGTAATATATTTGTAAAATAAAATAAAATTAAAGATTTTAAAATTATTACTTTAGATTCTATAGGTTTATATAATTTAATTTTTGTTTTTTATTTTTTTTTTAAATAGTTTTTTTTCTTTTTTTTTTTTTTAATAACAATTTGAATCAGATTGTAATAGTGCGTTTAATGATGGTGATTGCGAGATGTCAATATGTGGAGTCGATATAGCAGGGCCACCAAAATTAATTTGATGCCAACGGGTTTTACATTCTAAAGCGGTTCTTGGTATTTTGGTTTGTCTACCTCTTGCCATTGCCTTTGATACATCCATCCAAGATATTTCTCTACCATCTTGATTATTTTCGGAAACTTTCTTTTGTAATATTTCATCTTCTCTTGCAGACCATTGAACCTCTCTTGACATACATGATTTAAAGTATTGGTAACGACATTGGATATCAGTACGGGTACGAATTTCACTTGCAACATTTTTCCAACTTTGACCATGCTTTTCAACTAAGCTAAATAGTTTTGATTCTTCATCTTCATCCCAAGAACCCTTTCTAATGGCAGGGCATAATACACGTTTCCAATGTTGAGCACACTGTGCACCTGTTTTACCTCCACCTATTTGATGTGCAATCTTTTTCCATTGCTTATCACCATGCTCGTGAACTAATTGAATTAGTTTTTGACTTTCTTCTTTGGACCATTTGTTTGGTGGGTTTCTTAAACCTCTGCTTACACTCTTTCTGATTCTCTCTCTTTTCTTTTTTTGATTTTGATCGTCGTTGGTTAATTCTAATGATTTCAAATCGATATTAAATTCATTTTCTTCGACACCATTGTCTCTTAAATAATTTACCATTTTATGGTTTGGTTCTATCGATAAAAATAAATCGACTAAAAATTGAAAAATCGATTTATAATTTACATCCATAACAGCAATAACTCTTAACTCTAACAATAAACTTCTAAATGATATTTCTTCATTTATAAATTCTACAATTGCATTATAAAATTGTTCTCTTCCATAGTTATCCATCATTCCCCATATAACTGGTGCGATATATTCTCTTAATTGATCTTCAATATCATCATCCATTATATCCATTGTTGGTGGTGATTCAATTCCATTATATCCAAATCCTGTTGTTGAAGTTGTTGAGGAAACTGAAGATGTTAATCCACCATAAATCGAATCACTACTACTATTTATAAAATTGTTTTGTTGAAATGAATTATTGCTACTACTATTACTATTATTATTGTTATTTATATTTAAATTATTATTGCTATTATTATTATTTAAATTATTTATTGATGGTGGTACCATTGCATTGTTATTTGAATTGTTGAAATTGTTAAAGTTATTAATTTTTTCATTATAAAGATTAGGTGTTTGTTGATTATTGTTGCTGTTTTGTGAGTTTTGTTGTGGGGTGTTATAAAAATTTAAAGTATTTTGTAATTGGGGGGAATATTGGGGTACTACATGAGAACCATGGATATATGGAGAGTTTGATAATAATGTTGGTGTTGGTGGTGAGGGTATCATGGTTTGGCTAAATGATGGGGTTTATGGTATCGATAAGCATTTTACAGTTCTTTGTATCCCGTAAGAAATGTTGGGTGGTTATAAGATGAAAGTGAGATACATTTTACTGATGATGGAATAGGGTGGCGCCATATTGGTTGCTCAATTATTAAAATGAATC